GGAAGCTGATGAGGAAACACAACATACAAACAATCTACAAACCCACCAAGAAAATCCAACAAATGCTACGTATTTATTTATTTATTTATTTATTTATTTATTTATTTGGGACATTTATAGCCCGCCTTTCTCAACCATACGGCAACTCAAGGCGGGTTACAGATTGGCACAATTTGATGCCATACATTCATAAAAGTGCGATTAAAAAACAGTCAACATAACAATATAAAAACATATATAAAAACCATTAAAACATATAGTCACTGGTGTCATCTTCTTAAAATCATTTTCCGGTAACATTGTCTGGCCATTCCATTCATAATTTCATGTTCTCTATTCTGCTGCATTCTCAAAAGCTTGCTCAAAGAGCCAAGCTTTTACCTTATTTCAGAAAGTCTGGAGGGAGGGGGGCAATCTAATATTCCTGGGGGGGAGTTCCAAAGCCAAGGGGCCACCACTGAGAAGGCCCTGTCCCTCATCCCCGCCAATTGCACTTGTGATGTAGGTGGGATTAAGAGCAGGGCCTCCCCAGATGATCTTAAGCTTCTAGATGGTTCATAAGGAGAGATATGTTTGGACAGGTAAGCTGGGCCAGAACCATTTAGGGCAGTGGTTCTCAACCTGGGGTCCCCAGATGTTTTTGGCCTACAACTCCCAGAAATCCCAGACAGGTTACCAGCTGTTAGGATTTCTGGGAGTTGAAGGCCAAAACATCTGGGGACCCCAGGTTGAGAACCACTGGTTTAGGCTAAACCCAACACTTTGAATTGTGCCCGGTAGCAAATTGGCAGCCAGTGGAGCTGACACAACATGGGGGTTATGTGCTCCCTGAGTGCCGCTCCCGTTAGTAACCTGGCTGCCGCCCGTTGGACCATTTGAAGCTTCCGAAAAGTCTTCAAAGGCAACCCCACGTAGAGTGCATTGCAGTAGTCTATATCTTACAGCAGTAATGTGTGTCTTATGACATCATCACATGGGGCTTTTTAGCTTCCTAGGATGCTTCCCCGCTAGTCCAGCAATGGGTGGACACAATGTCCATCACAAAATGTTGCCGGACTTTTGGCAGAGGGCCATAGCCAGAGTGGAAGCATTGTATGACACTTTCCTTGCAACACGGGAGGCTTCCTGTGTTGAGCTAGTTCCAATGGAGCCAGCACGGATCCACAAGGCTCCCAGCATCACTGGGAGGAAGCAGTGCGAAGGGTGATAGATTTGCCCCACTGCCTCTCAATTTGAAGTAGTGTGTTAAAGTGTGTGTTAAAATGTGTTAAAGTCCTTAATAGTGCTCAGCCTCCTAATAACCCTTGGGAAAGTCTGAAGCTACACCTAGTTCTCTTTCCTTAGAGTTGTATTGCTTGTTTAACGTATTCTGAACAAGTGAGCTTGATGTGTACTGTCCTAAGTTTCAACTGAATATCATGTAATCCTCTGTGAAATCACTAGAAAGAATCCCCAGTTGCCAGGTTTTTGCCCTGGGATGCTCTTAACTTAGCAACCCTTTGTCCAAATTCCCCAGCCACATTCCTAATCACCATCAGCTCATTTCACAATTTGCTTTTATTTTTCCCTCTCCTATATCCCTCCTCTTTGACCTTCACTAGAGCACACTGCTAATGTCACCACCTGTGAGCAGTTTGCCATGTACAACATTGTGCATCATTATTCTGAAGAAGAAAGATATTGAAAGAATGCTCAAGAGCATGTTTTTAACCTGGGCCAGGGCCTTGCACTACTTTCGGTCCTCATTTCTACCCCTGGAGAGCTTGGTCTCCCTCTATATCCTGTTAGTAGTAAGCAACACACTTAGTGGTAGTATTAGCAGGAATATTCACATGGTTTCAGTCTTCATGGAAAGACATTCTGAGTCAGAACTCCTTGACCAGAATCATGATAGTCAAAGGCATCAACTGAAGTTGTATCTTCGTGTTGGGTTAACAGGTCAAGAGCATCACAGGGCCACATTTTGAAACCTGGAGATTCTTCCTAGTGGTGTCATGGGAGATCAGGTGTTACTATGAAGCATATGGCATTAAGCATGAACCCCAGTGCTCAGAATATGTAAGTCAAGCAATAGCATGCCCAACATTGCTAGTTCATTATTTTCCACCAAGGCCCTACACTTGGAAGACAATCATACTCAGCCACGAGTGATAGCCTATGATGATGATGGTTAGCAATTGTGATAATTAAGCTACCATATATACTCATATATACATTGACCTCATGTATAATCCAAGGGTAGTTTTGGGGGTCAAAATTAAGGATTTTGATATAACCTATGGATAGGTAAAAGGTAAAGGTTTTCCACTGACATTAAATCCAGTTGTGTCTAACTGTGGGTTGGTGCTCATCTTCATTTTGAAGCTAAACAGCTGGTGCTGTCCAGAGACACCTCCAAGGTCATGTGGCCAGCATGACTGCATGGAGCGCTGTTACCTTCTGCTGGAGCGGTACCTATTGATCTACTCACATTTGCATGTTTTCAAACTGCAAGATTGGCAGAAGCTGGGATTAACAGCGGGAACTCACCGCAATCCCTGGATTTGAACTGCCAACCTTTCAGTCAGCAAGTTCAGCAGCTCCTGGTTTAAGCCACTGTGCCACTGGGGCACCACCTGTGGGTAAGTAAAAGATTATTCTGCAGAGAAGGGAAAGTATCAGTGCTGACTCAGGGAGCCAGAAATAGCACCACAGCAGAGAAATTAGAGGAAGTTGGTGGTTTTTAAGGTTCTCTCAGGCAGAACTAAAACCTTTCACCAATCTATTCAGAGAAAGGGGTGGTTCCTTTTTCCATTAAAGTACAGCACTCACATTGACCACGGATAAGTCAATCCAAGTCTTTGGAATTGATTTTTTGGCAAAGGTTTCTAGATATATGCATAAGTACTTAGAACATTTCCATCCAGTATTATCTGGAACCAGTGCATTTGGAACAAATGCTGTCTATAGCATCAAAGACCCAGTGGCTTAAATCTGAACTTTGAGTGCTCCAAATGTGCAAGTTTCCACTTTTAAAAAATTTACATAAAGGGTGTGGTTTGTCAGATGACATGAGAGGTTGTCTGCGAACAATTGTGCGGTGAGATCACAGTCTGTGAAAACCTGTCCAAGTGAACAGAGTTGTATTTTAGAAGCGGGATCCCTTTGTGGAGATCTTTACCTATAACACTGGAGTGAAGCAACAGGTGGTGGTGGCAACAGAGCCAAAGGACTTCTCAGAATGAATGTGTCTTGCAGCATCCTCTTTCTTGGTTTGTATCCCATATGAACGAAAAGTCGGTTCAGAAATATGCCCTTGCAGTGGAGGGATGATCACATGCTTGCTATTAGTTCTTATTTCTCCTTTGCTTTAATGTCTAATTAAATAATTTCTTTTCCAGGTTGGTGGCTGCTTGGGCTGTGTCAGATGTCTAGAGGTGTGTATTAAATAACTCCTGTTTTGTTCATTATAGTCCTTCAAGTGGTGATAGTTTTCTTAGGGAAAGCATTTCCCTTGGTTTGGTTTCCTTCCAAGGATAAGGCAAATGAACAACAACAAAAACCCTCCCATCCAAAGGAACGCCTATAGACTTGTTGAAGTAACTGAACTTATTAGACTTGGACAAGTTTAGGATATGTGAGCCTTTTATTTCATGAAAAAAATGATGAAAAGAGATTCAATACTTGGTCTTTGTGTGTGTGTTTGTTTGTGTGTGTTTGCATGGTAGAAGGATCATTTAAAATTTCAATGGCGTGGGAACGAAATAAGAACATATTTCAAAGTGTGCCAAAAGTTCATTTCCATTTGGTTGACAAAGCCAAACTGCAGCTCAAAAATGATATGGGGAAAAGGCGAACAGTCACTGTCCTCCACCCATTACCAGGTTGATTTTGCTTTTTGTGGTGCACAGCTGAAGCATTTACTGCAGAGCTTACTATCAACCAGTGGTTCCCAACCTTTTTTTGACCAGGGACTACTCTCCAAAATTAGTACCAAAAGGGTTACAAATCAGTTTTTAGTCAACCTAAGATTTGGTTTGGTTATTTATTATTTATTTATTTATTGACTGCATTTCTGTGCCACCTTTCTCAGCCCGAAGGCAACTCAAGGCAGCTTACACTGGCACGATTCAATGCCACAATGAACATAAATGAAATTAAAACAAAATTTAAAAACAATTCACATGCATTATTAAAAACACTATAAAAAGCATTTGGGGTGCTGATTTGGAAAACTGCATTGGATAGACCACATCAGCTCTAGTTTCTAATGCAAAACATATGCCATCTGCTCGCCCACAGAAAACCATATGTAATAATCTAGAGCTGATGTGGTCTATCCAATGCAATTTTCTGAATCAGCACTCCAAATAACCCCAGGAACAGGCCTAAAAATGAAGACACCAAAGTGCTCCCACTTCCAGGCATCACATGGAACAGCTCCATTCAGGGCAAGGGAGGAGGAGGAGAAGCTGCAGTCAGGAGACTTGTTGTTGAGCCTTTCGTGGGTAGTCAGCCTCTCCACTCCGGTCATCTCCATTGCCTCGGCACTATAAGAGGGTTTTACGAGACCAGTCACTCTCGTTGCAACGGTCTAGTAATGGTGGGACCGTGGATCCACCATTTTAGTTCTTGGGGACCACTGGTGGTCCACGGACCACAGGTTAGGAACCACTGTAAACACTGTATGTTGTTGCCAACATATTTGTGTAAAGGAGTTGTGTTCAGAAAACTTTTACTGTTACCATTTTTTTGTGACCCCAACATTGAGCTATAACCAATTTGAGGTCAGGACCCACAGTTTTTCCCATTTTACTGGAGTCAGACTTCACAGGTGTTCCTACTTCCTTCTATCTTATTCTTGATCTTAGAATCATAGAATGAAAGAGTTGGAAGAGACCTCGTGGGCCATCCAGTCCAACCCCCTGCCAAGACGCAGGAATATTGCATTCAAATCACCCCTGACAGATGACCATCCAGCCCCTGTTTAAAAGCTTCCAAAGAAGGAGCCTCCACCACACTCCGGGGCAGAGAGTTCCACTGCTGAACGGCTCTCACAGTCAGGAAGTTCTTCCTCATGTTCAGATGGAATCTCCTCTCTTGTAGATTGAAGCCATTGTTCCGCGTCGTAGTCTCCAAGGAAGCAGAAAACAAGCTTGCTCCATCCTCCCTGTGGCTTCCTCTCACATATTTGTACATGGCTATCATATCTCCTCTCAGCCTTCTCTTCTTTATTTATTTGCCATCCAGGAGAATTATATCCCAAACCTTACATCTCTATCCACCCCAGAGGGATGGTTGCTTTGGGCAGAAATGTCAGCATCCGCTGCTGGACAAAAAGCGAAAAGCATGTTGAGTACTATCTTACAAAAGAAGTAAAGAGATCTGCAACTACTCCATCAGCCAAAGTAGCAGACCCATGTCACGTGGTATTTCCAATTGTCAATGCCAGGATTTCAGATGGAGGGAGTTACTGGTGTTTATATCATAACAAGTCAAGCGACACTGAGTGGTCACCTCAAAGTGATATTGTATACATCAACCTAACCGGTAAGATTGTGACTTAGCCTTGTATATAATGACAACAACATCAATGAGGTCTAGCCAACATAGAAGATGGTGAAGCATACTGGAAGTTGCAGATCAGCAGCACCTGTAAAACTGTACAATTCGCACCCCTGCTGCAGATCATAGCAGAATTTGAAAGATTATACTATTACATCCAGCCACAAGTAAATTGTTGTTCATTTTATAGTTGTTTATTACCTTTCAAATATTTTAAAATAATAAAAATGGGGGGAAATGTTTTATTTGTGACTAGATGCAGCGTCAAATGTGATCTGCCTATTAAGAAATATGAAGCTTCATTAAATTCTTCCCAGTCCTAGATCCTAAGTGAAACTACAAGAGAATAGTCTTTGCTTGTCTGAATGCCAGGGATTACAGAATGCTCAGAACATTGCATATAACAAGAAAGCAGGTACCAGATTGAACTGTAAGTGAGAGGGAGATACAGGTAGGTTGGACCTGAAGTGTATAGGGCTTTGCAGTTAGCACAAAGGTCGGCTGCTAGATTACTAACTGGGGCCAGCCATAGGAAACATACCACGCCTCTACAAAAGCTGCTCCACTGGCTTTTGACAAGTTTCTGGGCTCAATTCAAAGTGCAGGTTACGATCTATAAAGGTCTATATGCTTCAGGTCCAACCTATCTTTGAGACTGCATCTCTTTCTTTGAACTAGTGTGGGTTTTGAGAATGGCAGTGGAGGCCCTTCTCTCGGTCCCACCACTGTCTCAGCTGTGGTTGGTGGGGATGAGAGAGAAGGCTTTCTCTGTGGTGGCTCCCTGGCTCTGGAATACCCTCCCAAAAGAATTAGGTTAGCCCCCACCCTTCAATCCTTCCAATCCTGCCTAAAACCATGGATTTTTAAACAGGCTTTTGACCACGAGTAGGCTGAAATCAGCCCATATGAGGTTGACACTTTGGCACTTTAGTTGTGAATTGATGGCAGCAAGTTTTATCTACAGATGGTCTGTGTTTTTAAAATTGTGCTATTTTGATTTTTGGTTATATGTTTTGATAGTGGTTGTTGTTATAATTTTATGTGATATTGCTTTATATACTTGTATGTTATATGCTGCACCCTGGAGTGCCTTTTTAAGCCACCCCCGGTGGTGAAGTGGGTTAAAGCACTGAGCTGCGGAGCTTGTTGATCGAAAGGTCGCAGGTTCAATTCCAGGGAGCTGCGTGAGCTTCCGCTGTCAGCCCTAGCTTCTGCCAACCTAGCATTTCGAAAACATGCAAATGTGAGTAGATTAATAGGTACCGCTCCGGCGGGAAGGTAACGGCGCTCTATGCAGTTATGCCGGCCACATGACCTTGGAGGTGTCTACGGATAACGCTGGCTCTTCGGCTTAGAAATGGAGATAAGCACCACACCCCAGAGTCAGACATGACTGGACTTAATGTCAGGGGACTACCTTTACCTTACCTAGTCCCTTTAGGGAGATGGTGGTGGGGAAAAAATAAAGTTTATTATTATTCTGTTTCTTTTAAGGTCACTTCCACGTCACCAGGGGGAAGCTATTGCAGCTCCAAAGTTATGGGATCAGGAAAATGGCTCCCAACCCCTGCATCCCACCTAACTTGTCGCATAATACTATGTCCTATAGTGGGAATGGGTGGGGGCAGGGAGGAAGGCTTATTCTTGATAGAGGACCTATGCAGTTACACCGGAGTTTCTTCTATTGTGAAAAAAAGAGGAAGAGAGAGGAGTTGTTTGTGACTAAGTTCAATAGCAACAGTCTTTTCTATTCAGAACTATATCAAGACTCATTAAATTCTTTCTATATTTAGATCCCATCCTGCCCAAACCTTCCATCGAAATGATACCTATAAATGCGATTGCTCCAGGGCTGAATGTCACCGTACGGTGCCGAGGGCCAGAAAATGGTCTAACGTTTGCCCTTTATAAAGCAAATATGCAGGTGGCATTTCAGACCACAAAACTTGAGACAGACACAGCTGAGTTTCCTTTCGTCATGCTCACACTGGAGGATGCAGGAAACTACACCTGCCAATACCACCAGAGAGGAAGTCCATTTGTCTGGTCAGAGCCAAGTCAGCCTGTGGAGCTGGTCTTCAGAGGTAAGGTATCAAACACAAAAGACTTCTTGCCATCCATCAAAGAGTTAAGAATAGATGGTTAGAAGGATACTATAGCATAGTATGTCAGAAGGTGATTGTTAGAAGTCACCATAGAGATAGGGAACATCTGCAGCTGATTGGCTCCTAGTACAGACTATTCTGCAGCCACCATCCTTCTTGCCACAGGAAACCCTGCATGTAGCATATTATGTGTGCTGGTACGGCTGTACCAGGAGCTCCAACTTTATTTTCTTTCTGTTATCTGTTTGCAGTCATAGGGCAGGCCTCCTGTCCATCATAATTAAACTTTGGTTCCGCCCCTTGTTCAGGGCTCTGGGAGGGAAAGGAGCCATTTTGGGCAGTCTCACACAAGGTAGCTAAATCATAGAATCATAGAATCATACAATCAAAGAGTTGGAAGAGACCTCATGGGCCATCCAGTCCAACCCCCTGCCAAGAAGCAGGAATATTGCATTCAAATCACCCCTGACAGATGGCCATCCAGCCTCTGCTTAAAAGCTTCCAAAGAAGGAGCCTCCACCACACTCCGGGGCAGAGAGTTCCACTGCTGAACAGCTCTCACAGTCAGGAAGTTCTTCCTCATGTTCAGATGGAATCTCCTCTCTTGTAGTTTGAAGCCATTGTTCTGCGTCCTAGCCTCCAAGGAAGCAGAAAACAAGCTTGCTTCCCTCCTCCCTGTGGCTTCCTCTCACATATTTATACATGGCTATCATATCCCCTCTCAGCCTTCTCTTCTTCAGGCTAAACAGCCCAGCTCCTTAAGCCGCTCCTCATAGGGCTTGTTCTCCAGACCTTTTGATCATTTTAGTCGCTCTCCTCTGGACACATTCCAGCTTGTCAATATCTCTCTTGAATTGTGGTGCCCAGAATTGGACACAATATTCCAGGTGTGGTCTAACCAAAGCGGAATTGAGGGGTAGCATTACTTCCCTGGATCTAGACACTATGCTCCTATTGATGCAGGCCAAAATCCCATTGGCTTTTTTTGCCGCCACATCACATTGTTGGCTCATGTTTAACTTGCTGTCCACGAGGACTCCAAGATCTTTTTCACACGTACTGCTCTCGAGCCAGGCATCCCCATTCTGTATCTTTGCATTTCGTTTTTCCTGCCAAAGTGGAGTATCTTGCATTTGTCACTGTTAAACTTCATTTTGTTAGTTTTGGCCCATCTCTCTAATCTGTCAAGATCGTTTTGAATCCTGCTCCTGTCTTCTGGAGTATTGGCTATCCCTCCCAATTTGGTGTCGTCTGCAAACTTGATGATCCTGCCTTCTAACCCTTCATCTAAGTCATTAATAAAGATGTTGAACAGGACCGGGCCCAGGACGGAACCCTGCGGCACTCCGCTCGTCACTTCTTTCCAGGATGAAGAGGAAGCATTGGTGAGCACCCTCTGGGTTCGTCCATTTAACCAATTACAGATCCACCTCACCGTAGTTTTGCCTAGCCCACATTGGACTAGTTTCCTTGCCAGAAGGTCATGGGGGACCTTGTTGAAGGCCTTACTGAAATCCAGGACGTAGACCAGCTCGTCCCGTAGAAAAGCTTCTTTTCTCAAGAGCATCCAGTGTAACAGAGCATCCAGGGAAAAGTAGCATCCAGGGAAACAGACCATCTGGGGAAACAGAAACAGAAATTCCAGGGAAAAGGTCCCAAGGCTCTGGCTGAGAGCTCACAGCTTCTGAGCCGCACAGCAAACAGAGAGAAAACAGCCCTGAAGTTCTCAAAGAATTCTCTGAGGGAGGACAGCACTACAGATCCAAAGAAATCCAGCTGAAATATCTTCAAGCCTTGGCTGGTAGGTCTACTCAATACCCAGACGCATTTGGAATCGGTAGTAGGACCCACACTGATGAGGCATAGATAGTAAACAGTCTGGGAGAGGTTAAAAGGGGTTTTTCCTACAGAGAAGGTTCAGTTAATCAAAGGTACCAGCCCATTGAGGACTAGACTGATAAAGCCTTGAAGTGTTGTTTGAACCATTGAAGATTTGTTGTTTGTTCCATAATAAAGACTTTGTTGTATCATTAAAGACTCTAAAGACCATCACTTCAGAAAAATCCCTGAGAACCTCTCTTTGAGGCACCCCTGGCTTCCCGCTGGGCTTAAAGTACATGTCCTATAGAAAAGTACAGCTGTTACAGGCCCAGCACACGAAAGAACATTATGTCTGAAGCTGATGCTTAGAAATCACCATTAAAATGTTTTTGCCTATTTGCTTTTCATTAATTTATCTTAGAAAAGATACAACCTTGCCATACTAGTCATGTTATGAGAAATTATCTGATGCAGACTGTAAACTCTAATCTTCATTCCTTTATTACCTCCTGCAATTTTTATCTGTGGGTTGGCTTTCCTCCATCCTCAACTACTGCACTGGGAACTCTTGCCTCACTGAAGAATGGTTTTGCCTCTTAAGTTTCTGATGTGTAATTCCATTAGAAATTACTATTTTTCTTTGAGCACATATTTCACTTTCTTCAGACTCCAATTTTCTTGTTTCAAAGCCCTGCCATCCATTGGTGTCATGACTTCCTTTGATTTATTGTTTGGTTTTCTCTTAAAACCTTCATCCTGGCTACTCAGAACTTGTTTACTCTCCTCTCACTAGACAACTCAGTTCCGTGTATTTCCTCACCTTCTCATGTAGTGTTCACATTTCTTTACCTCCTCATGTAATGTTCATGCACCTGATAGGCCAGCCTTTTCCAGGCTGATGTTTTTCAATGTGTTGGCTAGAATCCTGTCCTTTCTAACAGGCATCCTGGCCAGTCTATAAATCAGCAATCTCTGTTGTGACCATCAGAAGCAGGATTCATGTCACGATTCCTTATACCAGAGATTGCCGGCAGGAGTTGGGTGTATATGTGTGTAAGTACGAGCCTGCTGCATGAGTTGCTGTTGGGTTTTCTGGGCAGTATGGCCATGCTCCAGAAGCATTCTCTCCTGATGAGTCTACTGCACTTAGGAGAAAAAAAACCTTCTGTCACTCACAGTGGTTCATGCTGGATAGGACAGGATTGAGGGACTTCTATCATAACTAAATATTCCCTACACTGCTGTTGATGATTATTGTACTCCACTTTTTCCCCAGTTTGGGTCACAAGTTGCTAACAACATAAAATGTAATTCAGTTGAAAACATATAAAATGCTTGTGGATTTCAGTGCCTTTTCTATGTGTAGTCTGACATGGCAGTTGTTAGAATGGTCCAGCATTTTTGTGTTCTCAAATAATATGCTGTGTCCTGGTTGGTTCATCAGGTGCTCTGCTATGGCTGACTTCTCTGACAAGCATGTGGACAATTTCAACAGAAAGGAGGAAACCACGAAAATGAACAAAATCTGGCTACCAGTATTTAAAAAAAAATCTAAAATCAGGATAGTAAATAAAGAACAATACTCAGAAAACAAGAGAATTCCAGACAGGAAACAATCAGGGCCAGCTAACACCTCCCAACAAAGGATTCCGCCAGGCAGAAAGCAGCCAGGCTTTGAAGATGCAAAGTTATTCAGTGCTAATCAAGCTGGTCAATTGCAACATTCACACCTTCCTCAAGCAAACCAGAGTTCTTTCTCCCACTCTGGACATTCCACAGATACATAAACCTCACTTGCCTAGTTTCCAACAGACCTAACAACATCTGAGGATGCCTGCCATAGATGTGGGTGAAATGTCAGGAGAGAATGCTTCTGGAACATGGCCATACAGCCTGAAAAACTCACAGCAACCCAATGATTCCGGCCATGAAAATCTTTGACAACACAATAGTCAGACTCGTAACAGCACTCCATAACTTTGCAATCTTGCCGAGCTGCTTCTCCTTTTTAATTTTTCTAAAAGACACTTCTCAATTATGCAAAGTGTAGGTAAAAATATTTTAAATCCTTCTTTTATAGAGTGGAGAGAATGGGAAAGGTGGACAACTCCACTCCCTCACATCACCAGCATGATGCCACAGATGCCTCCAGATCTCATCACACAAAGTAAGTCCTTGGAACATAGCATGATGATCAGGAGTTATTGATCAGTTTTGCCTGTCTATAGCTGGGAATGGTTTCAATGGAGGGAGCTGGTGGACTGGCAATGGATATTGTGCAGTTTTACGTAAAAGGGGGTCTTTGCTTCCATGCTGAATTGCTACCTCTTAGTGAACAAATTGAAAACCTCAATTTAAAAAATTAATACATTATATGTTTCTAGTGGCAAAGATACTCTCACTCAAAAACAGTTTCACGTCTAAGAGACAACTGGATTTTAAAGACGATTGAAATGATTGAGAAGGATAACTTAATTATTATGACAAAAAAGTCTATAGATAATATTTTGGAATGATTGGAAATCCTTCATATTCTTTATAAAAAAAGAAAGTAAATGTAAAGACACTTGCAGAATTTGATAATTAAAAATAATAGTTAATAGAATTACAAAGTACAAATAGAGGCTGTATATAAGCTTAATAGCGAGAAAACAATGATTTTATTGTTTTATGTCTTGTGGATGGAAGATGGGAAGTCAACCCCAAATATTTTTATTGCTTTTAAATTTTTCTTTCTTTTGTTTTTAGTCAAAATATCTGGGAGGAGGGTATATTTCCAGTTTATTTATTTATTTATTTATTTATTTATTTATTTATTTGAAGTATTTATATTCTGTCCTTCTCATCCCGAAGGGGACTCAGGGCAGATCCCAAAACACATATACGTCAAACATTTGATGCCAATATACAATGACAGGACAAACAACATTCCAGATAGCGGAATATAGATTTTCCCCATCTTTGGCATCTTGGAGGTTGTGGTCGATTCTGGCCACTGGGGGGGGGTGCTATTCTTCCATCCTCCATGCCAAGGAGCTGTATTCACAGACTTCCTCCTTTTGATAAAATCGCTAGCATTTTCTGGTATTTCCTTTATGGTGCCATTAAAATACCTCCCCACTAAGCGTAGGGGTGGCTCAACCCATTACGCAAAGTAAGCATTTGCAGTATAGTTGATTTTGCCCAGGGGCGCTCTTGAGGCACTCTTGGGGGAAAATAGACCTTGACATATGTGAGTTGTAGTTACTGGGATGTATAGTTCACCTAAAATCAAAGAGCATTCTGAACTCCACCAATGATGGAATTGAACCAAATATGGCACACAGAACTCCCATGACGAACAGAAAATATATTTCAGTGATTGGTTGGGGGGGGGGGTGCCAAAACACTGTTTGCTTACCGTTGAAAATTATCTAGGGCCGCCTTTGGCTAAGCGGCACCTCTTTATCTACACACATCTGTTTTCGATTTGCTAGGTGGACTGTGAGCTAGGCTGAAGGTTGGGTGCTCACTCCTGACCCAGGTTTCAAAATGCCAACCTTTTGATTGGCAAGATTTATTACAACTGGTGGTTAACCTGCTGTGCTAAAGCCCATCCCTATTTAAAGTAGTATTACCGTTATGCAATATTAGTTAATATAAATATATTAATATACCATTATACTATATTGTACACGTCTACTACAAAACCTATATTAAAACAACGAACTGATTTTTGAAAAACCTAGATTTTTATGATTTTATAGGTAGTGTCATGGCAACCTTACCAGCCAGTATAGCTTCAGGCATCGTTCTCTTGGCTCTCCTCTTGTTATTACTTGCCTATCTACTGCAGAAAAGAAAGAGGAAAGGTAAGTGAAATAATAAGGTGGCTTATGACTAGATTGAGGCTATCATAGTTTAGTTGTATGTATCATCATAATAGATGAGTCACCAGAAAAGATGATAATGTATGGTAAAGTGGAGGGCATTAGGAAGACCACATTCCAGAGTCAATCAAGGAAGCGGTAGCAAGACCTGAGCAGGGCTGTTGAGATAGGATAACTTGGCGGTCTCTCATGTAAAAGGTCATCATAAATCAAAGTGTTCTTCTATCTCTTGGGTGCAATATATGCTGTTGTTTGTTGTCAACTTTCAAATCACATCCAAGAGACCGAAAACAGCAGAAAATTTTCAAATGAAGGCAAGACAAAGTCCCCATGTTATGAACAAGACAGGTTCTACAGGTCTGTTGCATTTGCTGTAACTCCAGATAGATAGATAGATAGATAGATAGATAGATAGATAGATAGATAGATAATCTATTTATCTGGAGTTACACTCCTGAAGGGTTAACATCCCTGTGGTATTTGTTGTATTGTCTGTGCCCCTATTCAGAAGATTTCACCATACTTTTTGACCTTGTGATAATTGGATTTTGAAAAAAATGATTTCTTGGGGAAAAAAGGATTGGTGATAAAGCTTCAGAGGAGACACCTTTTCCCCATAATAACTGTTTCAAGAGTGAAGTTGTCTCACCCCTGTTTGTAACAATGAGTTATTTGTAAGTCAGATCTTTGTAACTCAGGGACTGCCTGGACAAGAATTAGAAGGGAGTTGGGTGTACAATCAGAATATGAAACAAATTAGCCAAAGTTTTCAATGGAGTATCTCTGATCTATAGGCACCATCACAAAGAAAGAAAATCAACCAATGGAAAAGGTAAACAATTTTCATATATTTAAAAAAAAACATTGTATTGATTTGTTTAAATATCTTATTATTTTTATGTCCTATAAAATGGGCATTCTAAACTGGAAAAGTCACTTCCTTTCTCCCTTCTCCTCATGCACCCTGTTCTGCCCCCACGCTATCCAACTGTTTGGAAGGTGAACTGGTTGTGCAGGGAACAGATGGGGGACACTTAGACAAACAGTCAACAAGGATTTAAAAGCTGGTAAAGGCTTCAACCCATTTCTCCTCCTGAGTTTAACTGGCACAGTCCTCAGAATATAAATAAAGTCCTTGAGAGAAAGGCTCTAAATTACTTAACTTCTCTGCTGTTGTTCCTCTTGTTGGTGTCTGTCTGTCTCTGGAGTAATTCTGATGTGTGACTTGACTTTGTAATAACTCTGACGTGATTCTGTTTGTGACTTGAAAAGACTCCAACCTTTACTCCATCTCTTACGTGCTATTTTGTGGATCTTCCTAGCCTTCCTCTCTTCTCACCTTCCACTTGTAAAATGGCTGATTCTCTAAGGAACAAGAAGGGTTTCCCCTGAGGCTCTGTCCTTTGGAAGACTCTTAAAGAGGAAAGAGGAGGGGTGGCTTAAAGGGGCTATATAGACCAGGGGTCCCCAAACTTTTTAAACAGAGAGTCAGGTCAAAGTCCCTCAAAGTGTTGGAGGGCAGGATTATAATTTGAAAAAAAAATAATTTGAATTCTTATGCACACTGCACAAATCTTATTTGTAGTGCAAAAAACACTTAAAAACAATACAATAATTAAAATGAAGAACAATTTTAACAAATATAAACATATTAGTATTTCAGTGGGAAGTGTGGGCCTGCTTTTAGCTGATGAGATAGAATTGTTGTTGTTGTTGCTGTTGTTGTTGTTATGTGCTTTCAAGTCATTTCAGACTTAGGCTGACCCTGAGTGAGGGCCAGGTAAATGACCTTGGAGGGCCATATTCGGCCCCCGGGCCTTAATTTGAGGACCCTTGATCTAGACTGACCCCCCCCACACACACACACACACACACACAAAACTATACACAAATTGCTAATTCTCTCTAACTAAAAGGGGGCTCAAATAGGGAAAACAATGAGAGTTCTTGTGAAGGCATGACACACCCTGTTTACCTGCAGAATTGTCTGATTCTGTAGGTGGAAATAAAATATTTGAAGACAGACATCTCACGTGCCTTCTTTCACTGCTGTATTGTGCTCTTGTAACCCTCTTGAGGGCTATAGATCACGAATCCAGATTTAGTTCACATCTTGGACTCCCAGAATCCCTGATCATTGGCAAAGGCAGCTGAAGCTGTGGAAGTAGAAATCCAAAACATCTGGAGGACTACAGTTTGGGAATCACTGCTCTAGAATTATTCCTAATGGATCTAAAGGAAGTCTAAAGCAGAATGCATTCAAATTTTCAGTGTCAAACTGGAGACCTCCATCTATTATTGTGTTATGATCCTGGTAGAAGCTTTCACCTTTTCTATTTTGCTGTTCACATATACTCAAAAGCAATAATGACAAGCTAGAATGTATCCAGAGAAGGGCAACCAAAATGATCAACGTTTTCAAAACCAAGTCCTATGAGTAATAGCTGAGGGAACAGGGAATGTTCCCTCAGCTGAGAGTGGACATGAGAAAGTTGAGAGTGAACATGAGAGCCATATTTAAATATTTGAATGATATCACATTGAGGAAGGGTAAAATTGTTTTCTACTGCTTTGGAGTCCAGGATACAGAACAATGGATTCAAATTGCAGGGGAAAAGATTCCACTTAAACATTTGGAAGAACTTCCTGATAGCAATAGCTGTTCAGCAGTGAAATATGCTGCCTCTGAGTATGGTGCAATCTCCTTCTCTGGAGGTTTTTAAGCAAAGGCTCGATGGCCATCTGTCAGGGGTGCTTTAAACTTTTGTTCCTGCATGGCAGAATGGGGTTGGACTGGATGGCCCTTGGGATCCTTTCTACCTCTATGAATCAATGTTTCTAGGAAGGTTTTCTTAAGTCAGCTTCTGTTTGCCTTGCCTGTTGTAGGCAAGCACACATTGCAACTGCTCCAGAGAAAGCGTTGCAAGGATTATTACCTAAGATTATTTTTATTACTCTAGGCCTTGGAACCTGATGGTGAAGAAATGCCTGATGAAGTTACCAATGCGACATTGAACCATCAGTCACAGAAAATCAAACTCAATGATGCTGAAATCATTTAACATCTGGCTTCAGGGGGTGTAGTCAAAAGCTTCTGGGATCCTGCCCATTCTCCAGAAAATATAGAACAACTCTGTAAGGGGACTAATGGGGGTAGAAATGATCAGCTTAGCATAGGTCTTCTGTCGGGAGTGCTTTGATTATGCTTTTCCTGCATGGCAGGGGTTGGATTAGATGGCCCATGTGGTCTCTTCCAACTCTATGATTCCAGGTAAGCAAGTGGATATTTGCACCATTTTGGATTGTAGCCAATATTTGGAATCTTCTTCTAAACTTCAGCAACACTGTGTTTAAATGAAAATTGGCTTTTTTTCTGGCCGATCTCCTCCTTGAACTTCTAGCCTGGTGAATATGGAGAACTCAAAAATTTGCTCACTGTGTTTAGTGACAGTTGTGTTAATCCAATAAAGCTGTTGTTTTCTTACACTTTTGAGTCTCTAGCTACTGTGTTTGATAAGGTGGATCGTTAATGCTTATTGGAAGTATGTATGAACAATATATTCTATTTTTTTGATTAAGGAGGTTAGTACCACAAAATGCAATCATTTATGATGGAAACCATCTTCTCCCTCTCAAATGATCAATAACTGACACTGGCATCAGCTTAACAGCTGTGGTTTGGAAATTGGCAATTTATGGATTAGCTTCCTTATAAAATAATAGAAGTGGAATTGAAATTATCATTTTTTACATTATCTTTCAACTGTGGAAATTAATAGTAATTTGAAGGTAGTGGAAACATCATTATATTACATCCCAATTTACAGGAGAACAAAACTCATTCATTCACATCAGCTAATGTCCAGATGATACTTTGTTAAGGATAATTAACACAACAGACTCAGGGAAGTATACTTAATTAACACATTTTGAATCCTGATCTGGGTTTTTTTGCATGCAGTCATTTTTTGTTACTGTATATACTTGTATAGCCAGAAATCAGAAGACGTTTACTTCTTGGAAGGAGAGCAATGTCCAATCTCGATAAAATAGTGAAGAGTAGAGACATCACACTGGCAACCAAGATCCATATAGTTAAAGCAATGGTATTCCCCGTAGCAACCTATGGATGTGAGAGTTGGACTATAAGGAAGGCTGAGTACAGGCAGATAGATGCTTTTGAACTGCGGTGTTGGAGGAAAATTCTGAGAGTGCCTTGGACCGCAAGAAGATCAAACTAGTTCACACTCCAGGAAATAAATCCCAACTACTCATTGGAGGGAAGTATATTAGAGGCAAAGATGAAGTACTTTGGCCACATAATGAGAAGACAGGAAAGCTTGGAGAAGATAATGTTGCTGGGGAAAATGGAAGGAAAACAGAAGAGGGGCCGACCAAGGGCAAGATGGATGGATGTTATCCTTGAAGCAACTGGCTTGGCCTTGAAGGAGTTGAGGATGGCAATGGCCAACAGGGAGCTCTGGCGTGGCCTGGTCCATGAGGTCACAAGAGTCAGAAGCGACTGAATGAATAAACAAAAACAACAATACTTGTGTATATACGCCAGCCTCATATATAGGTTGTTGACAGGTTTAGGGCTGAAACTATGGCTTTTGATATGAGTAGGTTGAGGGTAATTCTGCAGAGAAAGGAAAGTGCTAGTGCCACTTCTGGGGATCAATCGCCCAAAGGAGCTGTCACCAGGCTTTGAAAAAGGCTGGAAGAAATGCTGCAGCAGAGAAAGTAGAGAAGGTTGGAGATTGTTTTAAGTTCTGGGGTGGGCTAACCGCTTGCTTTTTCCATTTTGCTGGGAAGGGTGGTGCGGCTGGGTAGAGAACAGCAACAGGACTTTCTTTCCATATTACTTTTGAGCTATATGCCTGTTAAACCCTGGCTTCACACATCTAAACTTACCTAAGCCTATACATGGTAGGGTAAAGAAAAAGGTTTTCCCCTGATATTAAGTCTAGTTGAGGGTTAGTGCTCTGGGGGTTGGTGCTCATCTCCATTTCTATGCTGAAGTGCCGGTGTTGTCCGTAGACACCTTGTGCAGGTACAGCTGTACCAGGAGCTCCAATTTTGTTTGCTTTGCATTTAATGTTTGTTGCAGTCCTAAGTTTCAGGGACTCTGCAGATAGGTGGCTTCTTTTGGCTGCAATCATAGGGGAAGCCACCTGTCAATTATAGTTAGATTCCCTGGTCCCGCCCCCTTTTTGGGTTTTGGAGGGAATAGGAGCCAGTTTGGGTTCAGTCCACACAGAGAAGCCTTTCATGCAGGACATAATACCAAGAGCTCCTGTAGAAAGCTTCGTCTTCTACGGCTTGGCCGGGGAGATACAGCCCCACAGATTGGCCGGAAGATATACAGCCTTACAGCTCCTTCGCAGAGGGACTTCAGTCAGCCATCACTGAAACCTGAACTCCTTTTTTCCTGGAAGTCTACAAAGCTCTGCTTGGTAAGGGTCACTCGTGGAAGCTAGAAGCAGTTGGTACTGGGTGCAGGGGTTCCATGCCAACAGAGGCAAAGACAGACAGCCCAGATTAGAAGTTAAGGATTTCCCTATTAGCTAAAACACAGTTTATGAAGATAGTGTCTGTTCCCTGTGGACAAGATTGAGAGAGAGCCAATAGACTGTTAAGAAAGCTTTAAAGTACCTGTTTGTTTTCATTAATAAAGAACTTTGTTGAACCTTTGAGCAATCTAGAGACTCTGTTTTAAGGAAATCCAAAGGCCTTTAATCTGAGGCAGCCCCGGCATCCCATTGGGCACACAGAATTTATGTCCTGTCTACAGTCTGATGCACAGGCCCAGCATGCGACAGCACACACCTCCAAGGTCATGTGGCCCGCATGAGCGCCATTACCTTCCCACTGGTATTGATCTACTCATATTTGAATGTTTTCGAACTGCTAGGTTGGTAGAAGCTGGGGCTAACAGCAGGAGCTCATGCCGCTCCCCAGATTCAAAGCTGCAACCTTTTGGTTAGCAAGTTCAGCAGCTCAGCACTTTAACACACTGCACCACAAAGGGCTATATATGGTAAGCTCAGTTATTTCAACATCCTTACTCTTTGGAGGTTTTTTTGTTGTTGTTCCTTTGCCTGATTCCTGAAAGGAAACCAAATTAAGGAAAATGCTTCCCTTAAGAACACAATCACCATTTGATGGACTATGATGAGCAAAACAGGATTTATTTAATACCGACCTCTAGACATCAGTCACCGCCTGAGCAGACACCAACCTGGAAAGGACATTATACCGTTAATGGTACAGCAACTGTGTTATAAGGCCTAACAACAATTTTATGTGCTCACTTCTCCATTGCCAGCACATATTTCTGGTCCTGCTGCTTCTCCAAATAGGTTACCAACCAAGAAAGAGGATGCTGAAATATTTGCTGATAAGTCCCACTCCTTGGGCTCTGTTGCCAGCATCATATGTTGCTTTACTCCAATGTTCTGCAAGCAAAGATCGCCACCTAAGTGGTGCAGTTTCAAAAATACTCAGGCAGTTCTTGGCAGTCTATGATCTCACAGGATGGTTGCTCACTGACAACTTCCATGTCATCTGACAAACCACATCCCCTTTTAGATTGCAGTCATGACACCCACACCAAAACCAGGCAAACTGTACCAATTACTTACTTTAAGGACACTCAGGCTGGATCTACACTGCCCTATATTCCAAGATCTGATCCTAGATTATCTTCTCATCCTAGATTATCTGTCAATGTAGACTCATATAATCCAGTTCAAAGACTATAATCTGGGATCAGATCCTGGGATATAGGGCAGTGTGGATCCAGCATCAGTTGAAACTTATTTTATTCTGGGTTTTCACCTCAAAATGAAAAGGACCTCTGAGCAACACATTAAAGGAACCGGTCTTTGGAGCTAAATAATGCATTAGTGCTAGAGCAGACATGGGAAACTTGGACCCTCCAGATGCTTTGGACTTAAACTCTCACAATTCCTAACAGCCTCAGGCCCTTTACTTTTCCCCCTCAGCCGCTTAAGATGAGAGAAATGATGGACACTGATGGGTTGAGGAAGAGAGAACACAAGAGAACAAACATGGGTATCCTTTTAGTTATGGTAGTCAATGTAGCCATGGTAGCTAACAGCTAATCATTTGAGCATAAATAACTAGTCCAGCATTCCACAAAGAGTGCTACCTTTATTGGCCAACTGCAGGGGTTTCCAAACTAAGACCCGTGGGCCGGTTGCAGCCCTCCAAGGTCATTTAGCAGGCCCCTGCCATAAACTTTAGACTTGGGGTTATCCTAAATCTGAAACGGCTTGAAGGTACACAATGACAACAATCCTAATGTACTATCTCATCGGCCAAAAGCAGGCCCACACTACCCATTGAAGGAAGATAGATGCTTTTGAACTGTGGTGCTGGAGGAAAGTTCTGAGAGTGCCTTGGACTGCATGAAGATCCAACCAGTCCATCCTCCAGGAAATAAAGCCCGACTACTCATTGGAGGGAAGGATAGTAGAGGCCAAGATGAAGTACTTTGGCCCATCATGAGAAGAAAGGAAAGCTTAGAGAAGACAATTAAGCTGGGGAAAATGGAAGAAAAAAAGGAAGAGGGGCCGACCAAGGGCAAGATGGATAGATGGGATCCTTGAAGTGACTGGATTGACCTTGAAGGAGCTGGGGGTGGTGTTCTTAAATACTGTAGTGTTCTTTCATGTATTTTCGCAGTATGTTACATCCAGCATGCATAGTAATCCATGGGTTTTTTTCAAACTATAGTCCGGTTGTATAGTCCGTACAACACTCAGAAGGATTGTGAACCAGCCCTTTGCTTAAAAGGTTTGAGGGCCCCTGCTCTACTGTTTTCTTCATCAGGCAAAGGATGTTAAGAAATAAGAAAAGTGACAATGCCACAGGTCTGCATTTCATCTTAGGTGATGCTCAGTTGAGGGATTTCAAGCCGGCAGAGACCACTAACACCTTTGGGTCCATGTGGGGATGAAGACAAAATGTAATTGCTTAAATATATTTAAATAGTCTTGCCTCTGTTTCATTATATCTGAAAAGGATAGAAAAGGAAAATATTCCCACTCTCAAAACTTTCTGCAAAATAAGGAAGCAGAATTTATATTTATCATTCCTAGCACAGACACAGTAAAGCAGCCCCTTAAAATATCTAGCTTTAAAAAACCTCAAACACCTGGTGGAAAAAAAGTCTTGGTCTATCATCCTACCCAGAAGTTAAAAGAGAATAAGCTAGCCTTACGATCTACCCTATCTGCTGGAGATTCAAATTTATAGTCATTAATAGCCAAATGTGGTCACTAAACTACTGTTTTAGCCTGTGGCGGGGAACACAGAAAGAGACTCCTTGAAAACTTAGTAAATACAGTTAGGCATTCTCTGGGCAACATTTCTAATCTCTCCAACCCAAAAGCATTTATTTTATGCGGTGCTTTTGACACGAAATAAATAAAAGCCTATTGCACCCCAAACAAAATGTTTCCAAGGTGCTGAAAATTCAGGTGCTGGGATAAAAGATCTATAGTGCTCTTCTGGTTATCATCTCATCAATACTGAACAGGAAACCCACCACTGCTTTGATTTAATATATGGAATGTACGAGGATTGAATGAAAAGTAGTGCCTCCGCCTTTGTTAGTTGGGTTTGGATGGGAATATTTTAATAAATCAAATGCAGAAATAATCCTTAGAATGTACTCTTTAACTACCACTATTCACTTTTTGACATAATCACCAGACATTGGATACAAGTTTTCTGAAGCCGTCACTAAAGAAGTCGACACTCTTTCTACAACCCATCATGCACAGATCTTCCAATAGTCTAGCAAAGCAATAATGTGACCCACATTTTCTTATGAAATGTTGATTTTGCTTGAAATTTCTCTTTGAGTGAAGTCACAATCGTACTGAATCAATCTGTCAACCTTTTGCTTGTGAAACTCGGTGGTTGCTGTCACAGGTTTAACATCTTTGCCTGCAAAAACAGGAGAAAGAGGGTGTCTTGGCTACTCACTCCTACACCAGTGAGAGAAGCAGGTCAGAGAAGGAGGCTTTAAAACTGCTGTCTCCCAGCTGCTCTTTGCTTAACATCTTTGCCTACAAGAACAGGAGAAAGAAGGTATACATGATATATGAATACTTCCGGTATGATGGCGGCGAGGTAACAGCAGCGATCCTTCGCTCCGGTAGGGTGAGAGACTATAATCCGACCTAATCCTCCCAAAACCTTGCCATCTAGAACTCCTGAAACCCGTTTCTTTCCCTGTGACAACCCAGGGTCACGAAGGTGGCCTTGGGGAGTCAAATTGGGGGAGTGTTATCGAGGGAAGGGTTGGAGAAGGCTTGAAGAAGGAAGGTAGAGCGATTGGGCCGCCGTCATTACAGGCCCTTGAATGCGCTCCCTCCTTACCTCTCTCGCTGCTCCCAAGGCTCCGGCTCTTGCGGCTCGCAAGGCTTCGGCTTGCTGGCCCCGTCGCTGTGGTGGACCGGGGGGACCGCTGCCGCCTGGAGGGACGACTGTGGGCTGTCACCTTGCCGCTTCAGCTGAATTCTGAGACGGTCTTGGCCCGTATCGCCGTCTCCAGCCATCTTCAACTCGGGGTGCTGCCTGGTTTGCTTGGCGGTTCGCGGTGTCGCGCGGCTGCCGTACGGCCTGGTGCCCAACTGAGCTTCCGCCCCGCCGGCCTCCCAGCGCGCCGGCCTTCCAGCGACCCGGCTTTTCGGCGTCTCCGAGTGTGCCGCTTTTCCATCGCGCCGGTTTCCAACGCGCCGGCCCCTTCTCAGTGTACCGACCTTCGCCACGCGGGCCTCCAGCGCGCCGGCCTCCCTGAACACCGGCTTTCCATCACGCCGGCTCTTCAATTGCATCAGCCTCTTGGAGTGCCAGCTTTCCGGCCTACCAGCTTTCCCCACGCCAGCTCCGTCCAGCCTTCTTAACTAGCGGGCCATTGCCATCTGGGGTCCTGGGGTCGAGGGTTTGCGGCGTGACTGCCTCATTGCCGTGGCCCCACTGCTGTGATCTGCCGCGGCGCCATTTTGGATTTTGTCTCTCGGCCAGCTCCCTAGCGTTCTAGCTAAGGATTAATCTGCCGCCATCGTACGAAATTCCATTATTCCATCTGGTAACCACCAACTCCGGAAGACTGGGTTGACCATCTTGTGGCCTAATTATCGCCATCTTTTGGCATCTCGTTGCTCCAGTTTTGGTTAAATTGTGTTGATCATCGCTAGTCTTGTGGCCTAATTATCGCCATCTTTTGGCATCTCGTTGCTCCAGTTTT